CACTATTCTCTGCTCAATGTAAACTAATTTATAATCTTTTACTTTATATATTCCACTTTTATTAAATTAAATTTTCTTTTATTAACTTTATAAGTTTCTGAATATGCATATCTTCATATTATCTTCATAATCTATTTATAATTAATTTTAATTATTTATCATATGGAACAATAAAATTCCTTCATAAATATTGTACAGTACAATATATTTTCTCTATTTTTACCGTATATCTTCTACAAGTAAAAAGGGAAACACATTATGGTATGATAAAGATGATAAAATAGTTTTTTGCATATTAAAAATACACATTAATGATAAGTCGAGAAGATATACTGTACAATATTTTGGGAGGAATTTTTATATCTTTAATAATAAATTAATACAAATAAGTTATATACGTATTATAATATATAAATAATATTAATGCCATTTCATAGCAGACGAGATGAAGAATTTTTTTCGATTGAAATTTTATGGTCTAGTCTAATTTGATTTGGCCTGGTCTGAATTGGTCTGATTTTGTCTTGTTCGGTAGATTTCTGGTTTCAAAGTATTGTTCTCCCTCCGTCTCTCAAAACTTTGCCAAATTTGTCCGGCACGAGAATTAATAAAGTAAAAAATTTGTGATTGAGTTTTGTGCAGAGGAGAGAGATTTAACTGGAACAATAAATTCTTTACTTAAAATGGAAGATGACAAAGTTAATGTAACATCCAAAAAAGGAAACTTGGCAATGTTTTAAGGGATGTTTTAAAGTTGTCTAGTCTAATTATGTCTAGTAAGGCTTGTTCAGGTCTGATATTGTCTAAGACTGAAATAAGTCTAAGTAAAAAATTTTAAAACAGTTCAGACCAGAGCTGACAAAAATTGACTAGACTAAATTACATCATATCAAAAAAATTCAATCCAATTAAAAACATCTTAAACTCTATAATTCAACATTTGGTTAGTTAATTTGCCACATGTTTATTCAAGACATTTGCTCACAAAAAAAATATAGACTTGGATGTGATTTAGCTAGAGAAAATTTCGGGGTATAATTGCACTTACCACAAGTTCTCAACCGACCGAGGGTGCTGTTAACTACTCCGTATGCTCATCGTTAGAGAAGGGAGAAGATGCCCTCTTTTAATGGAAAAGGGAGTTTTTTGCTCCAAAATTAAGTATAAGGGCTTAGATGCCCTTTAGAGGTAACTTTAAGGGGGGATTTGCCCCTTTTCCCTAAGAAATATTTTAATTCAACTTTTGAATAAAAATTTCAGATTGAAAAGGATAAGAAATATTTTAATTCAATTTTTGAATAAAAATTTTCTGATTGAAAAGGATAAGAAATATTTTAATTCAATTTTTTTAAACATATAACTTCGAAAAAATAACAAAATAAGATCCAAAATTTCTAGATCTAAATAGCAAATTCAATTCAATTTAAAAATTACTATGGTATAATTTGTGTGGTAAACGATGCAAATTTTAAAGAACAAAAGCCAAAAGAACAATTGAAAGAGCAAAAAAAGGAAAATTAGAAAGCAAGAAAAAGACGGATCTGGAAATCAAGATGAAAAAAAGGAAGGAAAAAAAGGTAATCAAACAGCAGTCAAGCGAAGGAAAAGAAACAATAGAAAAGGAAAGAAGAAGGGGAAGAAGAGAAGAAGGGGAAGAAGAAGAGGAGGAAGATAGAAACATACCTATAATTAAGTACCATGAAATCCGCCGGAGAGGAGAAATTGCTATGATTGTGAGCAGAAATTGTTGAGAAGAGATGAGAGAAGGAGAGCAGCTCATAGGGTGCAGAGCAGAGCAGCGTGAAAAGATTTGTCGAAAGAAAATTCAAGAAGGGTATAATGGGAAGAAGAAACGGTGCACCTAATCAATAACTCCTATTTGGGGAATAAATAAACATAAACTCATCTTTTGGAACTTTGTTATTGTTTTAGTCCTAGTTAGGGCAATTTCTTAATAAATTCCACAAAATTTGTGGACTTCATTTATACCAAAAGGTGTTAATCTTTTATGTAATGCGCGTTTTGGAAAAATATCTTAAATTGATTGATTCACTTCGACCCCCCACAGCCCCACACAAACATTTTCTTTGCTCCAAGATTTCCCATCGAATTTCCTCCCTATAATCTTTCTCTAGCATTTACCAAGTTCCAAATGCCCCATTAATGGTTAGTACATTTATCTGAAAGCTCATATTTTCCGTTCGTTCCAGAACGATATAAATGAGAAGGAGTTGAGTGCCCTGAAGGCTGTAATTAAATGCATCGAGGATCACAAGCTTGAGGAGCAATATCCTGTGGATGCACTCCAAAAACGAGTTCTCGAGATGGAGAGAGCAAAGGCGGACAAGAAAAGGGCAACTGAAGTTCCCAAACCTCAACCGAAAAGACCCCGTGCTAATTGTGCCCGAGTCGCTAACATTTCCATTGACAAAAACGTTTATGCTAGAACGACTGACAGGTACCCACAATACATGTATGAGAGACAGTATGCCTACACTGGAACAACTGAGGCCCATATACCTGCATTCGTAGGCAATCCTTACAATCTCTCTGGTCCCGGCAACTTCTTTGCAAATGGCTACCATTATCAGGCAGCATACCTGCACTAGTTACTAGAGCGCCGAGCAGGGTTACCTGGTCACCTTCTACTAGTCCTTAGTCCTTTAACCCTCTTTGTGTGTTTGCTTAATTCGAACCATATGAACGATATTACTACTGAAAAACCCCGACTTGTTAATTTCTAACCTTCTGTAAAAAATAATGTTGTAATGTTTTACTATGTGCCATTGTACCATGCTTCATGTTTATATTTCTCCATAATTTGACTCTGCTCACTGTTTTCTTTCTGCTCTTTTGTGACTCTTGAGATAATGACGTTAAATGCAAAACTTAACCAGACTTTTCATGTTATTAATAGACTTGAAATACAATTAGACATGGATATGGTATTTATTGAAGCTGATGGTTCAAAAAATAGATTTGGCCTAATTTGACACAAAAAATGTTCGAGGAACAATAATGATTTATCATACGAACATTATGGTGTTATTATGAAATTGATGATTCGGCCATTCAAGTATTCAACACTTCTGTTGTGAATTTGAACCTAACGCATAAATTAATAGATAAAATCACGAGAATGATTTGTGTAATTAAAGGATTCAATCCATTTTATTGGCTTGAATTAAATTCCGAGGATGGATATGGTCTAAATCTGCAAATTATATGGTGGGATCTGTTTGCTTTCCACAAATTATACCGTGGGATCGGCCCACCTTGCGCATGGTGTGCCGATCCCAAACGGTGCCGTTTTTATTAATAAAATTCAGTCTCTTCCGAAGCTTATCCCTATCGTGACTCGTGAGCTCCTCCCCACCGTTTCAATATCAGTTCTTGAGCTCGTCCCTATCATGTGCTCAAACAGGGTCTGTGATTTCATTGAGTTCAGGGGAGTTTGATCTAACTAGCTAGGTCTTCTTCGATTTCATCGTTCCCCTCTAGCTGATTATCTTCCGCGCTATCACGAGCTTTAATCGCATCGTAGAAGCCCAAAACTTCATAGTCGGCCAGTGGCAGCTACCAAGGTTCAGGCAGGCTTTGATTTCTCCCCACCGTTTCAGCTACCAAACTTCATAGGCTTTGATTTCGCATCGTAGAAGCCCAAAACTTCATAGTCGGCCAGTGGCAGCTACGATGCGACTATGATTTCTCACATCCCTCCTCCAAAAATGTATACAAATCCAGTATCACCTGTAACTAGCTAACTCTTCTTCAACTGCTCCCTGATTACAAACATATAATGGATGTTTGATGCCAAACACAAACCAAATTTTCAGGCTGAATTGGGCATCCCTTGGAGCTGGTAGGGGGGCCATCCCTTGGAGCTGGTAGGGGGGCCTGGTAGCCTGACACATGGATGAAGATATGAAATTATGGTTCCTAAAGTTGGGGATTGGGTTTGTGTAGGGAAGTGGGTTCCCATTTCTTGAAGTTTTTTGTTCAAGTTTGTGCAGGGGATAATACATCTAAGAAAAGTTACATTTTTATTAAAAAGATTTACATTTTCATTTATCTCAAGTTACATATATATGAATGCGAGTTACATGTCAACTTTCCCCAACAAGTTACGTCACACTTACACGTGATTTACATTTTTCAAAATGCGAGTTACATCACAATATAATGCGAGTTACACACAAAATAAACCTATGTTATTCAATCAAAAATAATTTTCTTGTTAAAAATCATTTTTAATGCACCTAATATTAAAAACAAAACTTATGACCCTATTTATGTAAAATAATTGGACAATTAGACTCATTTTCATTAAACATGAGTATATTTTTGGGCACAAGTTACATTTGTAACAACACGAGTTACATCTAATTATGAACAAGTTACATCATTCATGCTACTGGATGAAAATAAAAAAAAAAGTTATTGTACACGCGTGTATTGTTCATGCAATTTTTTTAAAATAACTGTGCGAAACTACGCCGTTTTGAGTGTGGGAGCACTGTGCTCACCGTGGGGTGATACCACGGTATACGAACTGCACAAAATGACATAATTTTATGCCGATAAAAAACCTTCTGAATTTGGGGAAAAACATTCGTATTATTTTATTGATAAAATAAAAAAAAAATTATATGAAAAAATAGCTAAATGATCGTTTACAGTAATCAAAAGTTATGTGTTTAATGAAAAATATTGTTGAGAAACCGAAAATAGTGATTACCAAATGGGTTTTTTAATTTTATATTTCGCACAATAGGGGTTTCTTTGACGGTGATGGCCAAACCTGATTTTCTTTGACGGTGATGGGATTACTCGGCGGCGCCGAATTCTTGTGACGTTTCTTTCTTTCTTGCATCTCTGTGGTCTGTCCGATCTTTTTCGGAGTTTTTTATCCCTCTACAGTGGGGAGCGTTCCGGTACTCGCCATTTTGGTCGAGTGTGGTGCTTTGTTATAGGTCTAGGCTATGATTGTTTCGATTGAAAGTTCTGGGTTGTATCTTCGTCTTTGGCTAGTTGTCTGAAGGGATGAAAGATTTTAGGGTTGCAATTGCTACCTGTGGCAGAAGCCGCTTCCTGTCTCATTGGCCAAGGAGGTTCGTCTTCAACTGTTCAACACGACAAGAAGAAATCATGAAGTCCATTGTTAACCAGTACGACACTTGGCTACCCAACGGATTCTCCTACACTTTCGATTGCTCAACAGTAGAGAATGTTACGAATAAGGAGAAAGGAGATGAAGAAAATGCAGTATTGCCAGTTCGTCACCCTCCTGAACCATCGTCGTGGAGGAATCATGTGGTTAGGGTTTGGAAGATGTTGTTTCAAGTTTGGATTTATTTTAATTATCTTACTCTTACTTTTATTTTTTTATTCGAACTGAATGTTGTTTTTCTTTATTTCTACTAGCAGAACTCTAGAGTTTAGGTTAGGTGATGAGAGGTCTATTGCGTCCGTCATTGGCTCAGTTAAGCCATTATAGGATCAACGAGTCATATTGCTTTTTTGGAAGTGATATACTCTGAGTCTAGTTCGAGAGAAGACAATTAGAAAGAGACTTTTTGTCTTTTTGTATCTTGCCTGAATTTTGATTATTCAACAATATAAGCTACTTTCTTCCAAAAAAAAATTGATTTCGCACAATGAATTATGTAATAATTAAAATAAATAAGGTTGAAGTTGTTTTCTAGTTTAATCGACTCAAGTTATTGTAAACGACGATTTAGCTATTTTTTCATATAATGTTTTTTTTTTAAAAAATAAAATACTCTCTTCGTTCTTTGATAATTGTGTCTTATTCTATTTTGATTTGTTTTTTAATACCTGTCCTTCTTTCCATATTAGGAAAGTTTTTGAGCTAAATACCTCCACTTTTATTACTTTTACCCCTTTTACATACTACCTTCTCTTTCTCAGAGCCCGTTTGGCAGCACGAAAATCGGCTGTTTTGGCCGATTCTGCTGAAATTTATGAAGTTCTGGCTGAAGTGGCTGCATTGGCTGATTCTGCTGATACAAGAAAAAAATATTTTTAAAATATATTTTATTAATAAAATAAAGAAAAAGTTATATGTAAAAAGAGCTAAAATGGTCATCTACAGTAACTTCAGCCAATGCAGCCACAAAAGTAACTCCAACCTTACTTTTTCGGCTTATTACACAATTCAGCGCGTGAAAGCAAAATTTACATGTTTGGCAAAAAAGTTGGCTGATAAGCCTGATAAGCCGAAAATGAAGGTTGCCAAACGGCCTCTCATTTTATTATCACTTTACTCTTTTTAGAGCCCGTTTGGCAGCACGAAAATCGGCTGTTTTGGCCGATTCTGCTGAAATTTATGAAGTTCTGGCTGAAGTGGCTGCATTGGCTGATTCTGCTGATACAAGAAAAAAATATTTTTAAAATATATTTTATTAATAAAATAAAGAAAAAATTATATGTAAAAATAGCTAAAATGGTCATCTACAGTAACTTCAGCCAATACATCCAGAAAAGTAACTCCAACCTTACTTTTTATGCTTATTACACAATTCAGCGCGTAAAGCAAAACTTTCGTGTTTGGTGAAAAAGTTGGCTGATAAGCCTGATAAGCCGAAAAACTGGATTGCCAAACGGCCTCTTTATATACTCTCTTTCCTACTTTATTATCATTTTACTCTTCTTAATATATTTCTTTCATACTTTATCATTTACCCTACATACTCTATAATACTCCTATTTTTCTCTTAAAACCCGTGCCCAAGCCGAAAGAGACGATTAATTTAGAACGGAGGAAAAATATTTTAAATATTTTTAACATAATTCAGCAAATTCATCAATTTAGATCCTTCCATTAAATATTGTTCAATTTCAAACCAATTCAACAATACCTATTCAGATTTCAGAAACAAAATAAAACAAAAAAAAGATGACACTACATCCCTTAGAGAACACTAACACCGATCGAACAGTTAGATGAGAGGATGTAAGTTGGACTTTAAAAATGAAGTTCTGACCCCGTTGGGGAGTTGCAGATGCCATACTTAGAAACAAAATAGAACAAAAAACGAGGGAATGCAACTGTCTAAGTTCTGTCCATTTGTGTAACTCACATTCTGCAATTTATATCCTACACCCGTTTATTTTGAAATGAGTAGCAAGTTTGAGGATAATTGATAGGTTGAAGTACTGAGCTCTTTCTTTTTCTGCCGCTGCTCGATAACATTTCCATGGAGCGGAGCAAGAGCTTCGTCAAAGCGTTACAGGTCTTCTTGATTCCCAGTTTTCTTTTCATTGCTCCTTTCGTTCTTGAGATTTGATCTGCTCATGTTTGATGCTAGTTTTAGTTTACCTTTGAATTTGCCATGTAAATTCCTAAATTCCCAGCTTTCACGTTCATCCTTAATTACTTTGTATGTTCTCCTTTCTTGTCTTTTCTTTTGTTAATCTCCTTTTTTTTGCTCTCCTTTTTTTTGTCTTTTAGCAATCTTCTACTTTAACGTTATATTCAATTATTATTAAAATGTAGGTTGATAAAATATTATTAAATGTTTCAGTTTATTTTTTAGATTCATGTAGGAGTTGATTATAGATATATGAGCACAAACCATGATACTCAATTGCATGTTTTCAATACTCAATCGAGGAGGTTTGATGCTCAATGAAAATGTCTTGAAGTTCGACTAAAAAACTTATGATTTTCATATCAATACTCATTTTGTGAGTTACGTATGCTCATCTGGTAGTGATCTTATGCTCATTTTCTAAATGTCATATCAATACATTTTTTTAAAGTACTATTTTACATTAATTCACATATTGAAATTCATAGGAGTTTATTATAAATATAATTTAATAAGATTTTATAAAGGAAAAAAGAAAAAAAAAGAAAGTGAATTAGAAGTTATGAAGCAGAGATCACGATTCTCAATATTAGACTCATAATACTCAACAAAATTGGTATGATGCTCATTAAAGGTTCATTAATACTCATTTACTAGAAACCGTGAATTTCATCTCAATAGCGGAGGTTAGATGCTCAATTAAAATGCCGTGATGTTCAACTAAAAAACTTTATGATTTTCATATCAATGTGCACTTCGTAAGTTATGTATGCTCATTTGGTACTAATGTTATGCTCATTTTTTAAAATGTCATATCAATGCATATCTCAAAAGTCTCATACTATATTAGATTCACATAAGAGTTGATTATAGACATGAGACCACAAATTATTATACTCAATCACAATTTCTAATTCTCAATAGCAGAGGTTTGATGCTCTCTGAAAATGTTTTGATGCTCAACGAACAAAACTTACAATTTTCATATCAATGTTCATCTTGTAAGTTACATATGCTCATTTTCGTCTCAATAAAAGATGTTTGATGTTTAATGAAAATGTTGTTATGTTAGCCTAACAAACCTTATGATTTTTCACATCAATTAACATTTTATAAGTTACACGTGCTCATTTGGTACTCATGTTATGCTCATTTTTAAAATGTCATATCAATCCATATTTCAAAAGTATCATATTAAATGTGAATACATAACGTGTGTAATGAGTATCAAAAAGTTCAAAATGAGCATTACACCAATATGCATGGATATTGACGGGTGGTATATCCGGGGGATACCGGTGGGGGGTATCTAGAGAGAAGTCAGAACAAGTAAGAGAGAGAGAGAGATAGAGAGAGAGAGAGTAGTGTATATTAAGTGAAGTTGTTATTCTTTTATGGGATCTGGGATCCTTTACAATGAAGAAGGGGCTAGCTATTTATAGCAGCCATAGATGCTAGGTGCAATAAGTGAGAGTACACATGGCAAGTAACTAGCGGTGGAGAGTCAACTCAGCCAGGGTGGCGTCGACATAGCATGTGGCCGCATTCAATGCAACGGTTGGACGTGACACCACATTTAATGTGGTGATTCAGAGCATGTGGAGAGGACATCCTGTCGAGGAGAGTGCCCTCGGCTACATGCACCCGGGGGTTGCATGTGTCGAAGGCCATGTTGCCATGTATAAGCCAAAGGCTGCCTGTGCCGAAGGCCGTTCGTACCCTGTTGCCATTGCCATTTGGGCCTTGGTGACCTGCTGGGGATGTACGACCCTGAATTAGGGGGAAAGCGTCTCCAGTTGCCCTAAGTTCTTGGAGACGTCTGTATTTCCTTTAACCGACGCTCCTGACGTGACGATGGCTTTCTTGGCATGGTTTCCCGCCAATGGGTGGCGAGGATCATCCCCAGGCATTGGCTGCGTAGTGTCTTATGATGTGCTGGAGGACGTACGTAGCCGGGGAGGACCTCATGTGCTGAAGGACGTACCTCCTCTGGGGCCGTACGTAGCTGGGGAGGACTTCATGTGCAGGAGGACGTACATCCTCTGGGGCCGTACGTAGCTGGGGAGGACCGTCATGTGTTAGAGGCCGTACGTAGCTGGAGCTCTTCATGTATTAGAGGTCGTACGTACCTTGGGCCCTTCATGTGTTAGAGGCCGTACGTACCCAAGGCTCTTCATGTGCTTAAAGGTCGTAGTTCCCCTACACATTGTTGTAGTGTGGGTTGTCCGGAGTCTTGTTTGATGTATTTGGGCCACTTGGCCCTGTTGGGCCTGATTGTAGTAGTGGAAGTATGTGGGTCGGGGGTTCCTGGGACATATACTCCATCAGGAGTCCCCCACTCCTTTTGCCGAGAGCTTCTCGAGGGAAATAGAAGTAAGTGTTGTGAAGTCATCGGCGGCTGCCTTGATGTAGCTGTGAAGTAGCGAAGACTTTGCGTTTGCATGTTTTGCCGAAGGGAGTCCCACAATCCCCCACATTTTGAGACCGAAGGCTTTTGTTGATGCCTTGAAAAAACTTTTAACTTTTGTGATTCCCCGAGGGGGTTCCCCAATCCCCCACTCCTTGAGGCACATGTAATGAGGTGAAAAGGAGTAGAGCAATGCACGTCTTCGAGTAGGGGGCCGGGGGTCGACACCTTTTGATCAACAATGGGGAGATGCCTCGTTAAAAACCTCATTAGGAAAAACCCTGTGGGAAAAAATCCTATTGAGGGAAAAAGTACACCGGATGCCCCCAAAATGAAGCAAGAAGGGTGAACCCTTCGGCCTAGGTGTGGAGCTGCAGAGGTGTCCATCTGCCGAGGGGACGCCCGTCTGAACTATAAATGATGAGGAGGCGATGAGGAGTCGGTCCGAGTCTGAGGATGACGGTGCTGATGAGCCGCTCCGAATATGCGGACGAGGCGATGGACGCCCATCTGATCATCAGGACGAGGTTGTAGATGCTCGTCTGAATATGAGGACGAGGCGGTGGACGCCTGTCTGAATATGGGGACGAGGCGATGGACGCCTGTCTAGATATGAGGATGAGGCTATGATGAAGCTGATCGTCATATAGAGGCGATGGTCACCATCCAGGAAGGGATGGCAAGCCCAATCGCTAGCTCAAGACGCTCGGCGCTGGGGAAGCCGGTCTTGAGACGTAGGATCACGTCGAGGCCGAGGGGCCGTTCATGATCTGAGGATGTCGGCGCTGATGAAGTCGATCGTCATTTAAAGGCGATGGTCTCCATCTAGGAAGGGATGGTGAGCCCAATCGCTAACTTAAGATGCTCGACACTAGGAAAGCCGGTCTTGAGATATAGAATCCAATGTCAGCACTGAGAGGCTGATCCAAGGTTCAAGCAGCGGTCCTTATCACTAAAGTGAGAGGATGAGG